GTGCTGCGTTCAGAGCAGGAGGGAGTTCGGGGCTGAATTTCCCCTGGCAGCCCCAGAGGGCGGCGGCTCTTCGGGAGGGTTCAGGGGTGGCCGGGGTGAGGTCCTGCCCCAGCCGGGCCTCTCCGACCCGGCCAGGTGGGCAAAGGGCACTGGGAGGGAAATGGAGCAGCAGAGAACCCGCTTTGTTTTCCTTTCTGCATCGGTGCCCCTTGGATTCAGGCAGGAATGAGTTACAGCCGAACTTTGATGGGGAAATTACAGAGTTTTTTAAAACAAACAGTCCCATCCCCACCTCCTCCTGTTCCCAAACTTTGAAGAGCTTTTTCCTGTCCCTGAAATGAGGGCACTTGTCTGGGGCTGAGGCACAGAGCAGCACTGGAGCTGGACCTGAACCAGGTTTTCTTCAGGACTTGTCTGAGCAAGAGCAGGTAAAGAATCTCAGAAAGTTTTTATGAAAAGGCCGAAGAAGCTGGCAGGGCTGCCTTGTACTGGGTAAGGACAGCAGCTTCCAAAAGGTAAATATGGAAATTCCTGCTCACAAAGATTGCACTGCTGGACCTCAGTGTGCAACAGGGCCACGATGTGGGAAGCTGCTTGGGAAATCAGGAGCTGAGAAAAGGAGGTAAAACTCCAAACACAGGAACTGCAGCCTCTGTTATGTGTTGGTATTTGTAAGGACAAACTCTGTAAACAGTTTACAGGAGGGGGAATCTGCAGTGGGAGGTTTGTTTGGGATGCTTGGTTTGTTTAGCTGTTCCCAAACCACAGGGAGGGGGTGAGCCAGGCACTGGTGTGTCCTGGTGTGTTCATTATTGTCATTTAACCCCAGCCTCGTGTCCTTGGGGCTGCCCACACAGCAGAGGCACCTCGGGGCTCTTGAATCTCCCTCCGGCCTCCTTTTTGTCACTGTTATTGGGGATTCCACAGAGAAAACCCCAACCAGAGCATTTAAACACCCCCTGCTTGTTGATTATTTGTGACCGTGTTCGCAGGGGTCCGAGGATGAGGGAGAGACGAGGATCTGACTCCATGTTTTGGAAGGCTGATTTATTATTTTATTATATATATTATATTAAAACTATACTAAAAGAATAGAAGAAAGGATTTAATCAGAAGGCTGGCTAAGGATAGAAAAGGAAGGAATGATAACAAAGGTTTGTGGCTCAGACAGAGAGTCCAAGCCAGCTGACTGTGCTTGGCCATTAATTAGAAACGAGCACATGAGACCAATCCCAGATGCACCTGTTGCATTCCACAGCAGCAGATAATCAATGTTTGCATTCAATTCCTGAGGCTTCTCAGGAGGAAAAATCCCAAGGAAAGGATTTTCCATAAAGATGTCTGTGATAATTATTACATTAAATCCCCACAGCAGAACTCTCTCTCCCTCCCAGAGGTAACGAGGACGCGGAGTTTGGCCTCGCCATGGCCACGGTGGTGCCGGGGAAGCTGAGCCAGCTCCTGCTCA